CACAACAAGATTGGACATGCAGAAAATTTATTAGGGGAAATGTCTGTCAAAGAAAATGGGGAAGAAAGCAGAAGGGGCCAAGCAGTACATTCTCACTGGGATATAGGACTGACTGCAATGAGGAAGAGAGGGAAGGAAGAAAGAGCAAGGGAGTCTCAATGTGCAGGGCCATTGTGAGAAAATTTAGCAACTGATGAAGCAGCCTTAGCAAAAGACGTGTATCTGTTAAGCCCTAAAGCTCCCACTTCAGGCTTAACTATTTCCACCTCACTGCAAACTGTGGCTTCTGCACTAAGAAGGATAAATTTCAAAGCACAGCAGCTGGAGCCATTGGTGAATTAGACCTCCCACAGTAGATTGGATAAGTGCATGTTTATTGCTATTTTAAGAAAAAAGGTCACAATACTAATTATTTTGAGAGAAAGTTAGGGAATAAATGGTTTAGAAAAGTTTTGTCACATTAACTTAATTCAGATCAGTAGGATAAAGATTGCTTTACTTATTGCTATATTCTACGTAGTTGGAATAAAGTATCTTGGGCTTACACCAAGAAGGTGCTCAGAAAACATCTATTAGAATTTGGTTAGAACACTCAAGTTCCCACATAAAAGATTGAAAATTGGAGAAAACTTAGGCTCATTATCAAGGAATTCCTTAGAATTACATGACAAATAAAGGCAAGAACAAAGCAGAACCTTGATTATAGGAGATGCTGTGCAGGCAGGCACACGTCAAATTGGTAGTAACTGCTGGGCTCAGAGTGATAGTACTGTCAGTGGTGTGCTTGCCTCGCATGTGGCCAACCCGGGTTCCATCTGCAGCATCCCATATGATCCCCTAAGCATGCCAGGAGTAATTTCTGAGTGCAGAGCCAGATGTAAGTCCTAAGAATCTCTAGAAATAACTGCAGTAACATATTTATTATATATAAAAAGTTCTCTTTTAGCATCATATTGCTTTTACATTACTTGATTTTTATTTTTATCCCATTGTCCTGTAACCACAAAAACCATGAGAGAGGCAAAAGAGCCAGCATGGGCTAAGCATGTATATTCTGGTGCAGGACTGCTTAGTCCAAGGACTCACTGCAGTGTTTATTAATTCATTTACTTGACTACTTCTATCACTTTCTTTTAATTTCAACAACTATAGACAAGGGATAGTAACAGAATCTACCCCAAGGACTTTAAAATATAAGCCAATAACTAACACATATAATTTCTTAGAACAGAGCCAAGCAAAGATTATCAGAAATGAATTTTAATGCACTTAGTCAAGTAGTTCATCTCTAATCCAAACTGCACCGAGGAAAGAATTCAGACTCATACTACATGAAGGGCCATGAATAGTGCCTGAGACTAATCTTTTAACTGCATACTTGGAAAGAAGTACCAGAAAGAGAGCAATATTGGTACAAACAAATAATAGATTGAGAAATACATTGCAAGCGAGACTAAGGACATGGTGTTAGTTTCTGATTCTAACATCCATTATCAGCAGTTATTTACTATCCATCTGTATTTTGATCATTATGCTTATTGAGCGCACTATTTTAAAAAAAACATTTCAGTAAAACCAATATTCTAACTCATTTTTTAAGTTCAAGTCTAGGAGTTCAGGAGTACAGAGAGAACTAGAAAGCACTGTTACTTAACTCTATAACATTAACAATGAAACAGCACTACAACATATTGCAAAATTGAAGGCATAATTTATTAAAATAACTGGAAAAACAGAGAAAGTTTTTGGAAAAGCAGCATAGCAGGTAAGTCTCCAAGCAAATCCATGGAGTGATTTGCACAGCAGAAAATTATCTAATGGTTTAAATATGCTAATTATGAGGCTGGAGAGATAGTACAGTAGGTTAGGCACTTCTTGTCTTGCACACATTTGATCTGGCCCAGGTGTGATCCCTGAAACACCATAAGTTCTCTTACTTCTGAGCTCAGAGCCAGGAGTAAGCCCGGAGCACCTCCAGGTGTGGCCACAAAACAAAGCAAAATAACCCCAAAACAAAATATGCTAATTATATAAGAAAGTAGAATATAGGATGAAGGTGTAATTCAGGATTCATTTTTCAAACTGAATTTGGTCATGCATCAGAACTTAAGCACTGTTAAAAAGTTAAGTCAATGTACAATGTGAATTATATGGTTGTACCTCAACAGATGTACATTCAAGTGCTTTGGAGAATCACAGATGCAAATAAGAAACATGAAAATGAAAAAATGAAAATGTGTCACTGCTTCTGTTTTCACAGGCCGGGGAAGGAAGAAGTAGAATAGTCTTTTTTTTAGTGTAAATTTTTATTTTTGTGTTTTTGGAGGAGGTGGGCTACACACAATTGTGCTCAGGGCTTATTCCTCTTGGAGTACAGGGAACTATATAGAGTGCTGAGCAGCAAACCTGTGTTGGCTCTGTGCAAAGCAAGTGCCCTAACCACTGTACTATCTATCCAGTCCCATGTTTTTACTTTGTCATCCAAGCCATGGGCTGGAGCAATAGCACAGCGGGTAGGGCATTTGCCTTGACCACAGCCATGGCCGACCCGAGTTCAATTCCTCTGCTCTTCCCAGAGAGCCCGGCAAGCTACCGAGGGTATCTCTCCCGCACGCCAAAGCCTGGCAAGATACCCATGATGTATTCGATATGCCAAATAGTAACAACAAAGTCTCAAAAAATGGAGACGTTACTGGGCCTGCTCAAGAAAATCGATGAACAACGGGAGGACAGTGACAGGACAGTGACAGGTTCACGTCATTGTTTTCTTGTCTGTTCCCTGTCACTTGGAGTTCTATTGAATTACTCGACTTTTGAGAAGTTTGCTAGGTTTTTAGCTATCTTAAAATTACTCTTAATTCACCAGATAAACCTCTTTTGGCCTTTAATAGCTAGTTTTCCCTATTCCATATAGGATTGAAGATTATTCTGTAAAATTTCAGAGCTATTTTTCACATATTACATATCTTTTGCTCTAAGCATATAGAACATATTATCTTTTAAAATCTCATACAATATGCATTTTAACCACTTAGAGACTAATAAACTAGCAATGGGAATAATTTCTCTACAACACCAATTCTTAGGTTGGAAGAGAATGAGAAATAAAACAACTCAAGATATTAGGAAAAAATGGAAAATATAAAGCACTCATATATGTCTGACAACTTATCATAACAGAAATGCATAAAACTTCCAAATATTCAGTCAAGTACAATGATGTGTGTTTCAGTTTAAAACATGCGAGAATGATTTGTAAGAGATTATAAGCATTCTATTCTTAAGAGAAAAAGAAAAATATGCTCACATCACTTGTACAAGAAGCCACTGTTCATAAATCACCAAAATTCCTTAGTGTGATGATAAATTACTATGTAAAGTCTTATCACTTTAGTTATATTAGTTTCCTTTCCCTATCCTCCACAGTTATCTGATGGCAACATGCTTCAAGACATATTTTCTGAATCCTATATGGATTTTTGCTACATACAATGAACTTTTAAGCTCATATTCAATTACTTATTAGTACTGCCAATCCCAAGGAACAGAAAAGGAAAGAAATGAGTACTACTTACTGTGAGTCACGGGCTGATTATTTATTGAGTCAAAGTGAGAAAATCATTGATATTTTGGGAACTCTTGTCTATTCTGAATAGTACCACAAAGAAGTATGTGGTAAAGTTTCCTATGTAATATAAAATTCTCTATAACCAAAGAAATTATCCCTGTTATTTTTAAATGTCAGTATGTGATCTGTGATGCCATTAACACAATAAAATAAAATACTGCTTCACCTCAGTTTTGAACTTCTATGGCTCAAGTAGTTAAGTAAAGAGATCCTTAGACTGGAGTGGCTCTGAGGCTGTGGTATCTTATATAAGCAAACAAATCCTAAGCCAGAGTCAATGCCTTCAAATTCCCAAGGAAATAAAAGTCAGTAACAACAATCATTATCAACCAACTGTTTTTTTCCAATTACAGCAACCACTTATGCCACAGCCAATCTAAATCATTCATTATGTCTCTATTAAAACCTTTCCCTAGTGCCTCAGTTTTCTTTTAACATACACTTTAGCCTAATCATTAATGGGAGGGAGATAGCTCAATGGTCTGGAGCACATACTTTGCATACAGGAGGCTGGGTTCCATTCCCAGCAGTACATGTTCCCTCAAGTATCTATGGTAGTGATCACCAAGCACCAAGAAATGTGTAGTCTCACCAGCACCACTTAATTATAACCCCAAAGTCAAAACCCACCTCCAATAGAATGCTAACTAGAAAAACCATGTCCATAGTTCAAAGGCAATGCTGATAATCTTTTGGCTAACACATTATATATTTGCTAACTGTAGTGGTAGGCAGTGATGATTAGAGAGTATAATTTGTATTCATGCTTATGTATAATAAGCACAATTACACATAAATAATTATGGCACTGTCCATGGTAGGGCAAAACTGCATATGCATACATATTAATATATGAAGAATTTTCAGGTGACTTATTAATGAAACCATTGTAGATTCTTTTAAAAATTTTATTCATTCCAAGAGTTCATATGAGGTTTTCCATCCTGTCCACTGAGTACATAAAACCACTGCAGGTACCACTATGAACTCGAGATCTAGCAGAGACAAAACACTACATCAAAGGCACCACTCCAACCTAAGTAGTTATTTTGTTTGACACGTATCATATCACAGTTAGTAGCTGTAGTGTTTATTTGAACTTAAATGCTGATTAAGTCCCTTGCCAGCCATGTGTTTGCAAACACATAGAAATCTAAATAGACTGGCTCATTAAATCAAAAGAAACATGCATCGCCTGTTAGGCAGTCATTGTTATTATCAATAAACAAAACAAAAAAATGTACATTTCCCCAGTCTCAGTGCTGAAATATGCTGTGTTTATGGAATAATCAAAAAACAAAACAAAACCCAAAATACCCCAAACCACAAAGTTCCGGGTAAGGAGTTGGTCGATGAGGGGGCAGGGGTGTACCTGGGTCTCAACATCTGTCAGCTTTCTGGTTTGCTCTGCAGTCTGAGAGAGGAGGCTGGTTCCTATCTCAAGCATGGTGGCCGTGTGGTTCTGAACTGCATTCTGCTGTATTTGGGCCATTTCTGACTTCATATTTTCCACAATGTAGTTCTCAATCTGTAAGAGATAAAGGAGAAAACATACTACATTATAATAAGTAAAGCCCCTCCGCTGAAGCACTCTAATATTTACAATGACAAAACAAGACACAGCTGGCAAATCAGCCATCTGGCAAGGATCCTCGGCATCCCTGGGATTTGGGAGAAAAGCAGCAGTGCACACAAGAATCCAGTTAACAACAAATCCCTAATATATACAAATAATTACTGCACTGCACAGTACTGCACTATCCTCTAGTTGTTCATCGATTTGCTCGAGAGGGCCCAGTAACTTCTCCATTGTGAGACTTGTTGTTACTGTGTTTGGCATATTGAATACGTCACAGGTAGCTTGCCAGGCTTTGCAGTACAGGCTAGATACTCTTGGTAGCTTGCCAGGCTCTCTGAGAGGGGCAGAGGAATCGAACCCGGCTGGACCAGGTCAGCTGCTTGCAAGGCAAATGCCTACCGCTGTGTTATTCTAATTGCAATAATGCAAATTTGCACTTCTATCATCTCCTTTAAACTTCACAGCAAAGATATGAGTTAGTCAGACTGTCCACACTGTTTATTTTTTTATATATAGATGAAGGAACAGAATCCAGGGAGGTCAATGATGAGCACGGGGTCAGCCAGCAAGAAAGCAGAAGAGTTAACTGAATAATTTCAATCTAAATCTTAGATTTCTAGTCTTTTCGGTATATCTGATTGACTACTCATCTCTGAGTAAAAATTCAGCCTCATCCTTCAGGAGTATCACCTTAAAGTCTTCCCTGGGACAGGGGAATGGGTGACAAGGAGTGGGAAAAGGTAGCTCTCCAAAACCAAATCTGTAAGGGAATATGAAAGTACAGAGGGCAGCATTATAAAATGCACCGCAGAACATGAGCTAATCATTACCATTCTTATTGTTCCCAGCAAGCTTCAAAACTGGCACTGAAAGTATCCATAAAAGGGGCTCTGGGCCTCTCACCTGTGGTAATGTCTTGTCCATTTAGTGCCATCTGAAAGAACACTATAGTTGTCAAATAAATGGTACTATCGGGACAAAGAAGAATTTTTAAGTGCTTCACAGCAAGGGAGCTTGTCAGGCACCAGTGAATAAAACCAAACATATGTGCTACTTGACAAATACAGAAGAAGTCTGCCCCCTTCCTGTCAATACACTTACTCCTTCTGCCCCCCCCCCCCCCAGTCCCCACCCCACTGCCTGGTGACTACATTTTATTACCCAATTACACATATGGGGAAATTGCATCCCAGAGAAATCAAGTCCAAGGCCACACACCACAAAAGCAGCCAGACTTGGATTTGAGTGCTGAAGTCCTTAACTTTCATACCAACACTCTTAGCCACTTGCTACCTCTGCCAAGTCCTGCTTTATAAGCTGAGTTCCAAGTCATTAACAGCTACGTGATTTTCACTGATTTAGTGAAGCACAGTATATTCACTATTTATAATTCATAGTAACATTATTAACATGTAATAAATAGAGTCTAAACCAAAATTCCCCTATGTGAAACTTTGGCAGCTTATGTTCTAACACCATCTCTTGCTTATTTCTATTTATCAAACACGACTCTTCCCAAAGCTAGGAAATAAAAGAGGAAAATCCCACTCACATCATTATGAATGCATTCAGACTTTTCCTTTGTCAATATAAATTATCTACCCTTTATTCCTTATTTCCAAATTAGCAGTAGTAGGAATAATTCAACCCATAAAAATTTTATCATAAACAAAATGATGATGGATTAAAACAATTGTGTGAAAATCATCATAAGAGAGTTTCTGGATCAAATTCTGGCTGTATTCCAATTGAACTGACATCAACAACAATGGAGGAGTAGGGGAAATGAGGTATATCAGAGTATCAGATATCTGTTGTTTTAAAGTCTGCTTGGTAAGTTTTGCCTTTCTTTCTAAAATACCCCAACTTTCTTTTGGAAATTTATCTCTATCGACTTCAGAACAAATGCTTTGGGTGGAATAGTTCCATGTTCACGCCATTTATCAGCACATGTTTGAATCTTACAAATCAAAATGTTGTACTCTTACTTAGAGAAAAGTTGCCAAAGAACAGAAAGATAATGTGAGTAAATTAAGTCTTGGTCTGAAAGTTTGGTCAATTATCTACAAAAATTCTTTCACCTCTGTATCAAAAAGCTTGTGACAGTAAGCCTCAGATGGTTGAAGCCACATTTTTCTACAATAACAGAAAGAAAAGGATTAAAAATGTCTACCATAGAGGCAGGCAGGAAGGTGGAAGGTAAACTGGGGACATTGGTGGAAGAAGTTGACACTGGTGAAGGCAGAGGTGTTGAAAGATTGCATGCCTGAGATTCAGTATGAATGACTTAGTCACTATTGGTGATTCAATAAACAAACAAATAAAACTAGAGCCAGTTCTAAGACCAAGGTTGACTCAGAAAAGAGGGTAACAGATGAGAGAGAGAAAAATGAGAGAAGAGGAGGAAAAGGAGAGGATGGGGAAGAGGACCATGTAGCAGTGGCAGTACATGTAGGAGGATACGTTAGTACAACTTGATCTGACCTAACTGCTCAGTTGAAAATTGTATGATCTAACAATTAACCCTTGAGCAGTCCATTTTATTTTTTCTGTTTTTTTTTCAGCCACATTGATTTGTTTTCTAATACATTAAACACAAAGAGATTAAAACTGAGAATAGCTGATGGATGTATTAGCAAAGGACACTTCAGATAGGCAAGTCAGTATGGTCCTAGCTCATCTGTAAAGCTTATGACTGCATATGAACTTGTATCTTTTTAAAAATGGTAGATATGTCCTGCAATGGAGATGAAACTTGCCACTTACAGCTGACATTTGTTGCTTACATAGCAGGCATGGAGTTAAGTGCATTCCTTTTATAATACACTTAAATCTCATAACAACTCTCTGTGGTAGGTATTATTACTGTTGCTTTATAGGTGAGACTACTGAAGCTTAGAAAATTTCTGTTAACTTCCTCAAGAACAAACCAGAACCCAGTTCCCCCTCCCTGTCCCAACATAAATACTGTGTTCTTTTTCAGTTTGCACTACTTATTCTATGCATTTTACTTCGTGGGTCCCAAACCTTGTGTATTAATCAAAACTACATGGAAAATGTTATAAAAATGCAGATATTGGTCCAATACACAAGAACTCTGGGCCCGAACTTTCAAAGACTTGCTTTAGGGATCTATACATTTTCCAGTTTCCAATTCAATTCTGATGCAAACACCAATGCTTGTCAAAATGTGGTTCTTAGAATCAGGATAGTTTATGAATCATCTGCCATAACATGCAGAACTGTTCCAGAATGCAGGTCATGATGCTAACTATGCACAATTTAACTTAGTACATCAATATGTACAGCTAGACGTGTATATATCAATATCTATATTCATATATGCAAATATACAGACTTTCTTAATAAAATAATTATTTTACTGCCTTCAAGATCAAGCTTCTTGCTGACAATTTTCTTCAGTAGCAGTGATTTAACAACCAACTTTATCATGATGTCATAGTCCCTATTTACTAAGAAATACAAAGTGAACATTTTATTTCCTATGTAGATTCATTTCCTTGGAGTTAATCCACTAGCCAGTCAGTTCCAATATGGATCAACTGATAGACATACACCAGTTTATGAAGTTGGATAGAGGTAGTGAGTTCAAAGAAGTTCATTTGCTCTGAGCATGAGAATGAACAGGTACCCTTGCCACCTATGGAGGACAGAAGGCACAGGGCAAGTGCCTCAAGTGTCAGTTGTTCTGTGGTCCTATGATTATGATAGGTCCTATGATACATTCATATATTCTGTATTATTTGTCTTTTTTAACTGCAAAAGGTAAAACAAAGTCACAAAAGCTGCATTATGCCAGGCCTCATTAAAGATCTCCCAATACTACTGACCTGGTTGTAGAAATAAGGTAAGTTTCCAACAAATACTAAAATTCTTATTTCAGCTGCCATGATGAGTAAGATGAATATAACTCTAGTTAATTATTTTTTAATCAAACGGGGCTGCTTTGACCAACAGTACATGGCTTTTAATGCAAAAGGTAATGGCACACTTAAGTAGCAAAAACCAGATGTAGTTGATTTAATGACTGAAAAGGGAAGCAGAAGTCAAACATACAATGTGTGATTAATAAGGAGGAGTACTTTCATCTTATCTCTAAACATTCCTCCGTATATGTATAACTATGAAATCAATCTTGATGTGCTGTATCAGCTGTATTCAGGAAAGATTTGGAACAAATTTGATTGTCTTCATATATTCCCTACTGGTTTGAAAAATATCTTTACATAGTATGATGACTAACTCAAAGTTAAATATTTTATGAACTATAAGAAGTGAATTTGAAGCTTAAACCAGTGCTGATAAGCTATAAAGTAGGAGGTTCACAACCTGAGTCACAATATTATTTGATTATGTTGCCACACTCAGTATGACTTGAATTTTATAAAGCATTGACAAAAGTCTAGCAAGAGGAAGTAGGATGTGATTTGCAATCAGATTATCAATAATGAATGATGGTTTTCAAACTAGGAAATAAGACTACATTTATAATGTGATTTAGTATCTGCAGAGCTTTCGGAATATAGTCTGACCCAATCTTTATACTCAGAATTCAAAGGAAATGTTGACTTCATTTTATGATTTAAGAAAAGGGAAGGTAAAGGTAAGCGATAGCACAGCGGGTAGGGCGTTCGCCTTACAAGCGGCCAACATGGCCGACCTGAGTTCGATTCCTCCGCCCCTCTCGGAGAGCCCGGCAAGCTACCGAGAGTATTCGATATGCCAGACACAGTAACAACAAAGTCTCCAATGGAGACGTTACTGGGCCCGCTCGAGCAAATCAACGATCAACGGGAGGGCCTTTACCTTTACCTTTTTAAGAAAAGGGAAGGTCAAAGACCTCAGGTGGCTTGGTAGATTAAAAAAAAGAAAGAAAGAAAATAAAAAGAGCCAAATCTATCTTTTGAAGTTCTTCTAACACAAGAGTT